TTAACTTATTTTCTTTTGCATCCATTCTCAGTCTTTTTGTGCAACAAATGGGTTGATATGAGGTTTAATGATTCTCCTGGTTTCAGCTCCATTAAAAACAAACAGACACATTTGCTTAGTCATCTTTTTCCCCTCCCCTCTCCCGCTGCACTCTGCACCCTGCTGATGTGCTGAAGCTGACTTAAGGAGCCAGTTCAGACCGGAGGTTTGTGTTTGCGATAACTCTCTGCTGTGCTGCGGGTTATTGAGTTATTGACCGAGTCTGCAGAAGAAACTCAGTTGTTGCTGGCCTCCCTCCAGTGGCACGGGTCAAAGATGAGGGTCAGTTACTGAAGCTTGTAGACAGCGTGTTTCTCTGTGCCATTTCAGCAAGCGGGGAAGCTTGCCAGCACCCTCGTAAGTCTGACCACACAGAGAAGCCCAGCCATCTTAGAAACTCCCACGGAAATGGCTGTCACTGGGAGGATGTTGATAAGATGGAGACGGAAGACGAGAGCTTGAAGTCGCTCCGCGTTTGACTGACAGGGTCCATGTGCTTGTGATGATCTTTGTCAACTGTCCGCAGCTGTACTGCTTAAACAGAGTGGGATTCTTCTAAGTGAAGCACACTGAACTAGCTGTGTCTCATCTTTCTCTCTTCCCTCATCATCACCCCCACCCACCCACTTCATTATATATGTTAGTGAGATGGTGCTTTATTCTATTCCTTTCTTCTTCTGCCTTTTTTCCTTCCGTTTGCCAGGATCCCTGGCTGACAGGGTCGTCAGATTTTCTCACTCCACCTCTCTCAGTGATAATCAATGCTCTCGCGCCTCTGGTGGCTTGTGTAATATTAGACATTAGAGCAGCCCTTTGAAGGGTAGACGGCTGGGGAGGGGGGTGTGCAGCAGGAAGGAATGAAGGGAGGAAAGGATGGATGATAGGTGGATTAGAAAGGGATGAATGAGGACATCCTGCTGTAATCTCTTTGCTTTTTCTGCCGCTATTGGAGCCCAGTTTCCTCTTTTTCTTTTCCCCTACCCGCGTCTCTCCGGCTCGCCTCTCGCTCTCCGTCAGTCAGGGCAATCAGTTTAATTTTAACTTGCGTAAGCCTGACTTTCTTCCTATGGCACCATACCAGCCAGTATTCTATAGCTCAATACGCTTGGGAACGTGATGTACCCTGATTTCTGCACATATACACACACGACACACCACTGGGCAGACGAAGGGCTAAATCAGGGGTTCATATTACCACTCGGCTCTTAGTGCAGTGGGAGCAGTCATGAAGTAAAACAGTAAAGTCACTACAAATTGTTCCTCCTCTGCTGATTTCTAAACGTTACCATCCTCACATCTCTTGGATGCATTGCTTCGCCCGTGTCTGCTGTGCTCATGCACGTTTGATCGTCCATGACTGCTAGAAAGATGTGATTCCAGTGGCAAAACTGGTTGGAAAATTAGCTGAACTCGTTGCTTTAAATGTTTTTCATGCTCTTAATTTCCTGGCACCTTAATAATGATGATAACACTAATCCTGTTTGGCTGTTTTCGAGGAAGAGAGCTGCTTTTTTTGTTTTTTGTTTTTTTAAATAATAACCTGCTAGCTGAAATGTAGTCCTTGCAATATAAGTGCTGTGGTTTAATTTATCCGCTTTTATGTTCTCTTTGTAACCCTGCATTATCACATCATCGGCAAAGCAGATCTGTTTTTTATTACCTTTTTTAAAAAAAATTTATTAGCCATATCTCTGCTGTTGGAATACCATTTTTTTTTAAAAAAAAGAAAAAAGAAAAAAAAGAAAAGAAAATAAGAAGAAATGAGGAAATTAGAACTGGCACTGCACAATTTAGCCCAATTAGTGAAGTACTACTTGTGCATGTTTCCACTGATACTTTGGTGGTAGCACGAAGTGTCTTTGATGTCAGTTTAAAGGTAACAGCGGATTGGCCGGCTGTGGTTGATGGTCTAGACGGGATGTAGTAAACACATCACTTTATTAGCTCATCTGTCTCCATCCGTATCCTTTTGCACAACTGCTTGTTTTTTACGTGCATTGTCATAATCCCAGGTTTTTTCTCTCTCTCTCTCGCTCTGTCTCTCTCTCTGTGTCTCTCTCTCTCTTTAAGCTGTTAAATAGGATCCTATTTATGTAAGGCTGCAGCAATAAAACTTTGCAGGGTTCAGCTTACCTAAGAGGCTTTTATGGAGAGCTCAATCTTCCCTCTGCTTACTGTTTAGAAAGTGTTCATAGCTCGCTATCAATTATAGCGAATGCTGTAATCACATCAAGACGGACTGCTTGCGATATAAAACAAGAGATGGAAACAGTTTGTTGGCTTTGGCGAGTTTGAAATTTGGACTCGTACTTTGGGTTAACGGCTTACAGCAAACAGGCTCTTCGTCTATATGTCGAAGTGCTCAAGTTTGATGTTTCTGGGTAATGTTACTATGATCGATTCACCTCTTTTCATACACACACACTCTCTCCTCTATATGTCACGTAATTTCCTGTTCTTGCTTTAACACAAAAGTGGTTTCAGCTTAATTTTATTGTTAACCAGTTTTGTTGCCAGTTTTGATCACATTTGTAAGTGTTGTGCTTGCCTCAGCGCTTTCTCCATTTTTCTCTGTGGTCTCTACACTGGTTTTCAACAGTTGGAAGACCTGCAGAGTCTGCCTAGAGTGACTCGGGTGTGCAGAAGCTTCACTTTCATGTGTTTTAACCCAACTGTCAAACTCATTTCTGCTGTCCAGAAAATATGACCCAAGGCATTGATCAGCTTGGAGCATTACGACTTTGAAGAATCAGTTTCCAGTTCTACTTTCTCTTCTAAAAGTCCTCTATGGTCTTAATAATATGTTGATTTTTCTTTCATTCATTCACTACATCTTGCTTCTGTGTGAGTGCAGGGCTATTCTTGCCCCATGTCTTCTCCACTCATTCTAACCTGTTTGACTGGTTGGAAAAACTCGGCTTTCTGCATTTTGTGCACTTCATTTACTCCATGTCTGTTTGTTTCTTTTTAAAAATTATTATTATTATCCCCTTTGTATTTATTTTATCTTTTGCAAGTAGATCACAGCCTTGTGTGAACTGACACCCGCCCTCATTTTGCGGTTTCTGCCAGTTGAATAGTCACGTTCCCTTTTTAACGCCTCTGTGCCGGCGGCAGTCCGTGCTCTAGGCGTTGCTTTTTTGGGGTTACCTCTCCGTACATCTGTCCACACCTTTCTACTGAACATCTTGGGGGAATTTCTTTAAATTTAGGAGAAACATTTTTGGGTTTTTTTTGTTTTTGTTTTTGTTTTTTTGATCAGACAACAGGGGGACAGAATTCACTTGCTACTTATGCCGAAATTTCCCATAAATTTCCAATGGGGTAAAATGGATATCTTATACCTAAAAGGTGGAGGCCCAGGAAGAGGCACAGTGGCGTATTTGATAGTCGTCGTCTTTGCGTAACAGTATTATTGGCACCTCCTGTATGAATATGGCTTTTCATACCACATTTATTCGAGCACTGCAAGTCCTAAAACTTTACAGTTTAAATTAGGTTCTCGTGTGTTAATAAATTTTCTTTATGAAAATCCAGACTGATGAGAGTTCAGTGTTCACTGCTTGTTGGTAAACAAACTGCAATTTTTCCTCAACCCTTGCCACTAAATGTAGGGCTTTGTGTGAGCAATCATCTCTCAATTTCTCACATATTGAGCTTAGGCCAGGAAATTGACACGTTTTGACTCGGCTCTGTTCTCTGATTGGAGTGTAATCGGAGCGCTGCACCTTTCAGTGGCTACGCCAAATGCATTGTGGGTGTTCTCCAGACATGATCCTATCTATCCTTACCTCAGTCCGGTCCGCAGCAAATTGACAAATAATACCAGGATATCGCATTGCTTCTATCACTACTCCACAACACTTACAGCATAGCTTCCCCCCGCCACACACACACACACACACACACACTCACTCTCTCTCTCACTTCAGCGCTAATCGATTGAGGCCACTTGATGGTTCACACGGCCCCTGACACTCTGCGACTTTTATACTTCATGCGTGTATAAGCACGCGTCTACTTTTTAAGTGCGTGTGGAGAGGGAGGGTCGACATCCATGTGCCCGCACGTGCGTGTATCAAGGAGAGGCGGTGTGTGACAAGCGAGTCCGTTGCTTTCTGAGACATCTACCTCTTTAATATTCTGCTGTTACCATCGCCTCCTCTGGCACACACTGTGAAATAAAGACAGAAAAGAGACAAGGAGAGAGAAAAATGAGAGCGACGTCTCAAAGGCTTTGTGCATCACAGAGGAAAGCGCGTACAATGTAGCAACAGAAGTGAGGGAAGGGGGAGTGAGGAGGAGACGAGGGTGGAAAAAAAATTATGAGACAGAAAGATGGGGAGATGAAGAAAGTTGTTGCCGGTTAGCATGTGATTGTTTTGGCACACTGTCCTTGTGTAGTTGGTTTTTATCAGCTGCCACTGACAGCAGAGGCTCTGCCTTATAGGCGCTTTTCTTTTCTTATTCAATAGTGCTTAACAGGAATGAAAAAGAGGAACTACAACTACATGTGGGAAAACATCGTCAGCTCATGTAAATGCACACATTTAAATACACCCACACTATTGGTGAGAATGGGCAAGTCGTCCACTGAATGTGCGCTTGTTGCATATCAAAGCGATCATGATGGATTCGCTCCCGTTCACTGAACAAATACACACACACACACACGCGCACAGAGTAATCAATTCTTCGCTAGAGGGTAATTGTTTCAATGAAACCTCCCTACAGCGAGACAATGGCCAGTGGGCCACAGTAGTAAAAATGATAGAGTGGGTTTGCAGGTATGCAAAAGAGTCACATTCTTTTTTATTTTTAGTCAGCTGCAGACGGAGCTGCATTGGGGTTAAATGTTGTACTTCTTCCAACACACTGGCTTATGTTACTTGTAAATTCTGTGTTTACGTGCAAAGGATCCAAGGGTCTAACTTGTTGTTTTTCTTTCCCCTCCCCACAAGGCCTCGGCTCCAGGCCCAGAGGAAGTTTGCCCAGTCGCAGCCCAACTCGCCCAGCACTACGCCCATTAAAGTGGCTGACTCGGGCGGCCTGAACGCCGGCCTGTCCACGGTGCCATCCACGTCCCTCTCGTCCCTCTCCGCTTCATCCCTGTCCTCCTCCATCCAGGACCTCTCCAGGCGCAAGCCCAAGACGGAGGACTTTCTCACCTTCCTCTGCCTCAGAGGTAAGATGCAGCAGAGTGGAGCAGATGGAGACATAATTACATGCGTGCCTACAACCAGCGGCAGAGCGGGAGAGCATATTGTTTAACAAGAACGCTGCAGATATGATATTAAAGAGGTTTTTATTCAAGGGTCCGGGGCTGAGGTCTAACGCTAGAAAGGGGATGTTGCATATTAATTATCCTAACACCAGGATATGTTTCCCTATTGTTTGGCTCTATGCACATAAAGATGCGTGCATAAGCAACTCCAGGGAGCTTAGAATAAGTTTTGTTAAGTCAGGTTTTGATCACCCTCCACCCACTCATAACACACACAGACAAAACCCTTCACACATGCCGCATCTAACTGCATACTTGCCCATGGCTAAGATTATCCTGCATTTCATCAGCTTACGCGTCTCCCCCTCCCACCGTTCAACAACTGTCTGTCTCTTTAATACCCTGCCTATCACCCTGTACTACAGCAGCTGTTTCGAACATGGAGTACTCACACACACAAACTCTGCACAGGTTCATTGACACTGTGTAGCACTTTTGATGTCAAATGAAGTGGAAAAGCCACAGCAGAGCAATTAGCAGTCGAATGAGTTACGCGCGCGTGCGCAGCTCCTCTTTGTCTCATACAGCAGCATTGTTTGTCTATTTGGGTTAAAAACTCAAAAGGATACCTGATTGCAACCCATTATAAACTGAGTGCAGTCACTCAAAGGAGCGCAGATATCCTCGACACTCAAGGTTGCTAAACAACTCTTGTTCTTTTTTCCCTCTTGAGTTAATGAAGGGCTCATGTTACTTATGATCTATGCTCCGCTGGCCGGGATACAGAGTGGGTTAGTCCTCTGCCAGGACACTGCAAAAAGTTTTTTTTTCTTGTTGCTCTAAAACTATGAAGTGCTACTTATTTTATTACCTTAAAATATTTCCAAGGCCAAGGTTAAAAGACCCAGGACTATAAATTCTCTTTAAAAATCTGCAATCTTAGCTCGCAAAAACCTCTGTAAAATATGCAAGAGTTTCAGGATTCAAGGCCGATACGATCTTGAATCGGTGAGAGACAATCATGGCTCAGTATAGAGACGGCTTGACAGTTTCTAGCTTTATCTGATGCATGTGCACTGTTTAATTTGCTGTTCCTGTTTACACTGTAAGGTATATGTTGAAACAGCTACGTCTACTACATGTCTGTACTGAATGTGTTGTGATGTAACGATAACCCCCTCTCTCTCAATCATCCCTTCTTAAGAAAAATGAGAGGAGAGGGACTGACACGTTCATCCCAAGGTCCAAACATTACATAGGACCGTTTATCTCAAACAACCTTGGTTGTGACTTCTATCCTTCGTGGAATATCTCACCCACCCTTTTTTCTTTAAAATGTCCTCGCAACCAAAGTTAATTCCTGTGAAAGACAGAAACACCTTGCTCTATAGATTAATTTGCCGTTATCGTTATTAACCTCTGCCCCTCCCACAAAAGTCCGCTCCACACTCGGGAGGGGGGAAAATTTAGATTAAAGTCTGTCGGGCGTAATGGCTATATGTTCCTGTTCTGAGGAGAATACTCCTATTATGGGATGTCATTTTAACCTTACAGGGCTCATTCAGAAACGTGTAATTGGAAGTTGCTAAAATGGACTCGAGCCTTCCGTGTGATGAGCCTTGATTTACATATATAGGCCATGATGTTACATAGGCTAATGATACAATGTCCCATATACTTTGTGGCTGAAATTAGACTAATCACTTGGTGCTAAGCTAACGCCGTGCCTTACACACGAGCAGTTGCAGGCTAATGAAGTGTGGGTGACTTGTTCTGACTCAGTTTTGCTGTTGTCTCTCTTTATAATTAAGGGCTGAATTAGTGTTTTGCGAGCAGATTTCAAGCGAGTGTTTAGCTGCACTCTGCTGCACTTTAATGCTAATTTTAGAGCTAGGCTGCTAAGCTAACGATTGAACAGTTTTCCACAGCCCCCCCAGTGCTGCCGCTCCCTGTTCTACCACTGTATTTATAGACACCAGTTTGGCTCTCTGTGCGTGTGTGCTCCATCCATGCTGTGAGGATGACATTTTCCTTTGCAGGGCTTCTTCTGCTCAGTTTTCCCCTTGGCCTCTCATGTGACCCATATGCAGGGACCCTTACCAAGAGAGGGACATGGGAGAATGTCAGCAGAGCCCTTGAGGTTGTGTCTGCGTGTGTGTGTGTGTGTGAGTGCAAATCCACACCAACCACTGATGTGTCCTGTCCTGCTTATCTCCTGTGTGCCCTCATACCATTTTCTGTGTGTGTGTGTGTGTATGTCTACGCGCCAACTACCTGCACAAAGCATGCAGGGTATATAGGGAGACGCAGCCCATGAGGACATCTGTGTTAGCCTGGTTAATCTTTTCAAAGAGACTCCAGTCTTTGATATCTGAAAGCCCCAATCCCCTTTAAGATTCTGATACATGTCTCTGGTGATCTGACCACCACACACATTAGGCTCCTTCATGTCAGCTACCAAAAATGTCTCTGACAGAATCTCCAGCTGTGTAATCATATCCCTGATTTCCCTTTCATTTTGATCAGATTTTTAGCTTTTTTTTCCCTTTTCTTTAAGCATTAAGTGACATTTCTGCCCAGAATATCTCATCAGTGGGGATTTCTGGGGTGTGACCCAGGTCAAACGTTCAAGGTGTAAGCATAAATTTGTATTACCCCCCCCCCCCTCCTCCCCCTCCGTGTATCCACTGCAGTGTTTGCTTATCTTATCTGGAAAACATTAAGCATCCACCCAATGGGTTCTATCCATCACTCATTCAGACAGCCACATAAAAGCAGTTAAAACATGAAAGATTTGAAGCGATAAAGTGAGCGACCCAAAAAAAGAAAAAAGAAACAAATGTTGTGAAAGAAGCAGGACTCGTGTGTCAGTCTGTGTTGAGAAATCGCAGTTAACATGTTGTTGGTGCACCTTTTCATCCCATCCCAGCTTGTTTATTGACGCCATTTTGCTCTTGTGGGATTTGTTTTCCCTATGATAATGAATTGGCTGACTGCTGTGTGGTGGTGTTGTTGTTGTTGTATCTGAGGAAAAGCTATTTTTAATTCCTCCGTGGGGGAGCAGGGGGTGCTGGATTATTCTGATGCAACGTGGGAGTAACTGGACAGAAAAGTAACAAGAAACAAAAAAGCAGCAACAGAGATTTCTATCTACTGTATAGAAGGATGCACATCATGTATGCTCCCCACCCACACTGTCTTGGGTCTATGTTCAATGTGTGTTTATCCCACTGTTCGGCTTTGTCTCCTGCACACAAACACACAGACACACACCGTAGCAAACAAGCCAGAGTGCGCAGTCCTTGCCTGTGTTCTCAAAATGGTGTTTATGTGTGGTCCAGGCCTGTACTTGGGCTGTTTATATCCATGGAGAAAGCCATTTGGGTGGTAGCCAGACAGTCTGCCTCTGGCCTTGTCTGCCTGTTGTAACAGTGTAGTACTGCTGCATACAGGGTGGGGGCAATACTGATGAGAGCAGAGTGAAGGTGTTCATTTCAAATTGAGATGCTCAGTATTTAAGTTACCCCCACAGTCAAAGTCAAAATGATTTGACATGGTTTCGATTGCTTTTGTTTTCTAAAAATTCAACTGAGTAATGTTTGACTTGGTATCAGTGTATCCACCGTAATTGTTGGCACACTGCATCATTTATAACCCAAGTGTTCCCCGGTTTTTACAATACACACAAAAGAAAAATACACCAGAAACTGCACAAACACAAAATCCTCAATAACTGCAGACACTTGAAAATCAATTTTTATTCTTAATCCTGATTTTTGGCCTCCCACAGTTAAATGAACGCGATCGACCGATATTGGAAATGCGTGCGCCGACAAAAGAACACAAAGCAAACGTAAATCACCGCCTGACAGCACGGCCGCATGTGCCAGTCACAGCTGTTCCCTGCACCGCGCAGCTTGAAGTTTCCTGGGCTAGTCCGGACCAGTAACACTACATTAACAGGCAGATATACAACCGATAACAGACTGTCAAAACAAAAATTGAATGTCTTGCACAGCAGAAGGCGAATCACCGCTGGTTGTTTGGAAATACTTGGGATTTAGGGCAAGAGATGTTAACTGTGAATAAATCACATGGAAAGAGTGCGGCTGAGTGAGTTGTGCGTGTGCCACAGAGCAACACAACTAGCTTATTCAATTTCTCAAAACACACCACAAATGGCAGTAAAATGAATGCATGAAGGCCAAGAGAAACACACAGTGGTTGCTAGCGCGATTTGTCAAACGTCATCTTAGTCGTCCGTAGTCGTGCAGCGTATTCACGCCACTCACAAAGACGCACTTATTCACCAACACAATCGCATTTGGTCAAAGATAAGAGCCCATTAAACGAGGGGAGCGTCGAAGGCTCTGTGGTAATGGTCAACACGGTGGACAAAAGAGACGTTATCTCTGTGCACAGTTATTTTTCCAAAACTTGCGCTGCATGCAAAACATTACAGTGGAAAAAGGGAGCGATCTCACAGCTGTCAAGTACTTTGTTTCAGGTTTTAGTCACATCCATCAAGCAAGTACAAAGAAAGAATTGTTTTGCTTCTGGGAGAGGCAGTTAGGCAAGGTAAACAAACACTGTCAGCAGAGATGTTCTAATTAACAGGAGAACGTAGAAAAATGTGAAGGCGTTCTGTTGATTTTAATTTGTATTCAAGTTTTTAAATGTATGTTTTTCCTGTTACAGACACCCTGATTTAAGTAAAAAGGGGTTTCTAATTTTATTGTGCACCATTTGCATTTGTACATTAGCAGGAATGTTACTGAAAGCAGCGTTATAATTGTGATTTCAATATAGATCAAAATAACAATGACTATCATCTTGGCCATAATGGTGCTTTTGCTGCCATGCTCACGTTTTTAATGTCCTTCTCTTGCCTTTATATTGCCTTTGAAACCTATTTAACCTTTTGCCCAGTAATCTTTAAATTTTAACCTATAACCAAGCTT